TTGTTTCGCTCTCTTCAAAACTCCTTGAGTGGTATAACGTTTAATTCAGATGAGGCTGTAAATCTTGTTCAGTTTTTCGCAAATAAAGACAGGTCCTTCTATGAACGAGGAATTATGAAGCTCACTGAAAGATGGCAATACGAAATATGAAGCTCACTGAAAGAGAGCAAAACGGGCAATATATCATTGATTGATCTTTGTTCTTTATATAAATAAACGACATTTGAAAAACATAGACAAAATACGTCATGACTTTTCTGACAACCCAATACATAGTATTTAATGGTATTTAAAAAGCAAAATTACAAATGATGCGAAAAGTTACTCCCTTTTATTCTATATATACACTCATATGAACTATATTTGATCCATGGTTTTCCAGTTTTATCTTGGCTGTCTTGAACTATCATTAATATCTGATATCTCAAGCAGTTTTTTCAACAAATGATTAATATGTTTGTTAGTCAGATTGGGCAAATATTGTTTTTGCAACAATCTTTGTCTTTAACGACTTTTGCACTCCTTATTCTGTTTATTTCAGACTTGTTGAAGGAAGGCACTACTAAAATGGAAATGACAAAATACCAGTTATATATAAATCATAAATATTTACAATATGCAAGTTGAATGTAAGACTATCAAAAGAACTTTCCTAAATAAGTATAACAACGGAATTTGAAAAAAAAAATATTTTTAAGAAGGCATTTTTCTTCTTGTTATGCCATATTGACTTAATGGCATGGAACTAGCAGCTTTTTTAATATTTTAGCATGTTTAAATGAGATAGGGTGGCAATCGATGAAACCAATAAAATATAATTAAATTTAATGGTGGAAGGTATTATGTAATTTCTTTTTACTGCTTTCAAGGTCTTTGTAGTTGAGAAAGCAATATATTATTTTTCAACAGGTATATTCCTATTTGCCAGCTCTGGGGAAAACTGGTATGCGTGGGACTGGAAAGATGAAGATACCAAAGAAGATAGGACAGCGCCCTTGCCTTGAGTCTCAGAGGGCCTTACTAATGCTGAATGGTGCTAAACAGAAACAAGTTGAAGGGCTGCCAGAGTTACCGTAATTGATGCTTATATACCAACTATACCAGCGGTTCTCAACCTTTCACAGGGGTCGCCTAAGACCATCGGAAAACACATATTTTCGATGGTCTTAGGAACCGAGACACCGCTCCTCTATCCGTCTCCAGGCCCACATGCAGATACGCCCACATACGAGTACCTGGCGACCCCTGTGAAAGGGTCGTTCGACCCCCAAAGGGGTTGCGACCCACAGGTTGAGAACCGCTGAACTATGCTTTGTTTTAGAGTACAGCTCTTTTCCTGACACATTTCTTAAACGGTATGGTTATCTGTGATGTTTTTTGAATTATACTAATTAGAAAACTCAGTTCAAAAAGAATTAGTATAATTCAAAAAGAATTATACTAATTAGAAAACTTAGATATGCATGCTCTACATTTTCACTTTCCTTGATTCAGTGTACATGCTTTCTTTCTGTTAAGGTGAAGTGCTTTCCAAAACTGTTCATCAGATTATTGTTCCACACAATTTTTGCTCTGTGTAATTTATAAGTTGGTTTGTTTTGTTTTTTTAATTGGGGAAGTAAGGAAGGGGAACAGCCAAGTTGTGGTCCTTCTATCTTAGTTGTGGAGGGTGCAGTTAGCTCAACTCCAAGTCCACTCACCATCTAGCCACCAGTCGGCAGCTCAAGGCAGCTCAGCTCAAGGTGCCGTGTTCAGTCTTAGTTGGGGGTGGGCATAGGCCACCATCCTATGAGGGAGTCGAACCAGCAACCTTGTTGTTAGGAGCACATGCTTCCACCAGCTGAGCCGTCTTGCCACCTGTTGGCAGCTCAGCTTGGGCACAGCTCACTGGCCCATGTGGGAATTGAACCAGCGACTCTGTTGCTCAGAACTCACGCTCTTAACCAACTGAGCCACTCGGCCGGCCCTGCCCTGTCATTTAAATTATTTCCTTTATCCTCTCTGCCAAATATAGTTTACTTGGTCTCTTTCTCTACCTGACATTCCATATTCAAAAACTTTTCAGTAGGCAATTGGTGTGTAAAATTAATGGAATGAAAATTAATGCGTTAAAATTTGTCTCTGTACAATTGAAATAAATATAAAAATAGAAAGCAGTAAAGATGTGAATGAATAAGGGGTTTAAAATTGAAAGAGGTCCAGATTTTTAAAAATACCTATGTGTATTCTCATGCATTGTTGAAAAACAAGCTTCCATCATTTCTTACTTTCTTTTACAGAGAGCTGAACCTTGCTAAATATTCCTCATCATTAAAAAGACTGAAGAAGAAGTCAGAAGGAGAATTGTCATGTTCCAAGGAGAATTGCCCCTCTTTAGTTACAAAGATGAATTTCCACAAGACAAATTTAAAAGGTATTCCAAGTATCTAAATTAACTTAATTCTAAGAACTTTTTATGATTGTAGTCAGTATTTGCAAGTTTCACACTGGCCCTGATGACTACTTGAACTTAAATATTAGAGTAGATTCAGGAAATACCTTCCTGGGTAGCATATTATTTTTTGAACTGTCATTTATTCAAAGAATGTAATAGTTTAATACCCAGTATCATAGAGTATTCCTTCCCTTCTTTTCTCCCCCTGCCTTTCCAGATACTAAATACAGTATGTAGCTCACATTGAACTCTTTCCAGACTGGCCCACCTTACTTTTCTATTCCACCTCAACCTGTGCTACTTAGGATCAATGTCTTTTGATTTGAAAATATAATTCAGTCTTCATCTCTTTCAGTCCGAGACATTTTGTGAACAAAGAATGAGGAGCAGGCTATGTTACATAGCTGTGTTAAGCATATGGACTCTCTTCTTCCAGGCATTGAGCCCAGACTATGAAATGTGTTTGGCTTTTGGTTCTAACTATACTGGAAACTAAGTACCTAAAGGATGGAGTAACAAGAATAGCGTTGTAATAACCACTCCAGCACCTCTTTTGCTTAGGCACCTCTTAACTCACAAGTATAAGCTTGTGAGAGTCTATACGTAGCCAAAACAAATTGTTGAGTGTCTTACTGATGAGCTATATCGTGCTTTTAATACAAATATTATTAGTGAAGCTCTTATAAACTTTGAACACTATATAAGTTCATAATTGCATATCATAAATTTAAAATAACTCCCCATTTGGCTCAAAATGTGAAAAGAATGTATTAAATGAGAGTTCAGATATTAACTTCACAAAACAATGTTCTTTTTGTTTATTGTGTCAGAATGTAAAATGAATATGAATGACTTTAGGCTGAACAGCAGAAGGAACTGGGAGGGAGGAAGGAATTGAAAAATAGTAGAGGAAAACTTCAAAAGGTTTTCAGTGCATGTAAGAAATGTTTTGGTAGAAGTTACAAGATAATCTGTAAAACAGAACACTAAAAATGTGCATAGTATTTTATAGCAAGAAAAAACTACTCAGTATTTCATTTGTTTTCTAAGCAATGACTTTTAAGTTCTTTTGATTCCCCTTATATCAAATTATCACTTATATCTTCTTAATCTTAGTTATCACAGAGATAGATATAGACAATTTTAGCCAGCAAACACTAATTGCATCCCTCTGAGAAAAAACTTGGCCATTCTATTTGTCACTCTTGTTCAGCTTTAAATGGTACTAGGGATTTTTTTTTTCACGCGCGCGCGCGTGCGTGTGTGTGTGTGTGTGTGTGTGTGTGTGTGTGTGTGTTTATATTAAGATTCCCCCATTTCTCCTTCTCTGTACTGCTGTAGCCAAGCCAGACAGCCTATTGAGAAGCAGCAAACCATCTGTTAATGGATTTGAAGTTCTGAATTATACTTGAGTGTGTAGAGGCACTCGTGCTTAGCCAGAAACATTCATTTGAATTAAGCTATAAATGCTGTATAAAAAAGAGCCATACATTTAACGTAGGTTCATGAATAAATTTAAGAGAGGGCAATTGCACTCTAAACTTTTATTGCGGCAAAACCCAGTATTTTTGGTGTTCTTTGATCATTTGGGGGTTTTATAGCGGGATTGAAGCTTTAAACCTTGAACTAGGGGGAGACAATGCCTGCGTTAAACCTTTTGCAGTAGAATTTTGTTGCTGAATTGCTGATAGAACAGAAGCTCTATGGATTGGTGAGGTTCCCTCCCCCTCCTTTTTTTTTTTTTTTTTTCTTTAATGCAAGAGATGTTTAAACCAGTCAAAAGGAAAACTCAATAAATAATTTTCTGGCATGGGGCCAGATCTTCTAGTTCATGCCCTTTGATTATTTTCTTTAGTTGGTATCTTGTCTTCTCTGGAATAATCTATTAATATTTTATGGCAGGAGAAACAGCCCTCCATAGAGCTTGCATAAATAACCAAGTGGAGAAATTGATTCTTCTTCTCTCTCTGCCAGGAATAGACATCAATGTTAAAGGTAAGTTCTAAATCTTTGCGGTCTAATCCAATGTCTTAATATTTGTGATGTTAAACAGTTAAATGTCTACACTCAGAAAAATTATTTAAATATATTTGCCTAACTTATCTTTAAATTATTTCCAGTAGCAAAACCAAGAAATTCTTCATATATTGGTTTATTGCTAATAGTGCAGAAACATTTTTTGGTGTCTATATTTTGATCAGATCTCAACATCAAAATTTTAAAATTATTTTAATTTTCTTACAGTTATAAATATGATTATGCCCTAGACATTTTTATTAAAGTGTTCTATTTGTATATGAAGCACCTAGGAAGTCACACTTGTAAGGGAAGTAGAATTGTAATACTTTACTACCAAAAGTCCTACTTTTGCTGTTTTAAAACTTGTCTTGATTTCTAATTTAGACAATGCTGGCTGGACGCCTTTGCATGAAGCCTGTAACTATGGCAACACAGTGTGTGTCCAGGAAATTTTGCAACGTTGTCCAGAGGTAGATCTGCTCACTCAAGTGGACGGGGTGACTCCTTTGCATGATGCACTGTCAAACGGACATGTAGAAATTGGCAAGCTGCTACTCCAGCATGGTGGTGAGTGTGTTTATGCTAAACGGGTTTTGATAAATTACCAGTTTTTTGATGAATCCCTCAGAGGTAGATAGCATTTTATATACGCGTATTTAAGATCTGTAAGAAAAGATGCCTTTATTTTATATTAATGAAAAAGTAAAGATAAAAAGTCTCCTAGAATATAAGCAGCTTTTATTTAGAAGGGATAAAAGCCTTTTCATAATAAGTATTTATTTATGTATTGTATTATTAAGCCTGTTTAGGTTTGTGTATGAGAATGTATTTTGAATTGAGTGTGTTGGTTTTAAATATTAATACTTTTACTTAAAGTGTGTAATGTCTTTATGAAACAGCCATTTCTGAAAGCTTATTAATAAATGGATATAAATGTTCAATTGTGATTACTTGGATTTTTCATTCTTTTTTCATTTCCTGTATATAACTGCTAACTCGATTAATCTTTTTTTATGAGTCATTTCTTTACAGACTATAAAAAAGGTATCCTAGAATATCTTTTGTTCATTCACATTTTTCAGTCAATTAAGTTAAAGTGGGAGGATTTTCAAGTGGTGATAACTGTTGTGCAGGGGTTTTGTGATGGAGGTAACTTGAGCTTAATATTCACCTGCTTTTTCTGTTGATTTTTTTTAATTTCTGCTTTCAGGAACCTATCCCCAGCTTTTTCAGTGACATTTTTCTTATATTTGAACTGAAAAATAATAAATTTTACGTCAAAACTGATTTGTGTTTTAAAAGAAAAAACAAAGGAAAACGGATGAGTAGCTTATAATGCAGAAATAAAAATTTGTATAAATTTCCTGTTAGTTTTTTGTACTGATATTAACTTGAAATATAAAATGATTTTCTCCCATAATTAAAGCTATTGATTCATGAAAAATAAAAGCGTATTTCCTTTAGATTTCTTTTTATTGTATATATGTCTCTAAGAAAGGCTGTGTAATGGTAACTTAGGATATTTAGTTATTTATAGTCTTCTCCTGCCCCCTAAAGGCCTTAGTGTGCCTGTTTTACTGATACCATTTCATAATCAATATATTTTTTAATTTTGTATTTTTTATTGTAATACGTTTACTGAGACAATGTTTTGTCTCCTAAGTGTTTTATTTTTCTATTCAAACATGTTTCTGTTTGAATAGCTAATGTTTGTCTTTGCTTCAAGTGGTCTAAGTGATATAAAAGACATTATTATATTAAGTCCAATTCTTTAGAAGAGAATGGCATTATGGCAACCAATGTGAATTTTTAGGGTCTTTGGTGAAGATGAGTCAGTCCCTTGTCCTAAGAGAGGAAATCTATGCCTACTTGCATTTATCAAGATATTTTAGCAATCATACAGACTTACCTTTGCCTTAGTCATATTCTGGGTTTGGACTTGTCAAATGGTTTGATACCATCATTGTAGTAACTACGTTAGCTCTTCGTTGTGAGTCACTTAGTCTTGAGAGCAATAATTTTAAGGATTTGATTCTAAAACCTTTGATTACTTTTAGTAACTTGTGTCTGTGAATTTTTTTTTTTAACAGGAGTAACTTGGATCATTTTTATAGAAATACCAACATTATGAAAAGAAACCCAGTGTTGATTTAGAATTCTTTTTTTTCATAAATTATACATGAATCATATATCATCAGTGATTGATCTTTCCATTCAATACATTTTATATCTGAACCACTACATGTTTCTGATCAGATTTGTCATTAAGAATTTCAGCAGCTATAATCTATTTTCCCTGTCTGACAATATAATCTGTATTGTATGGTAGGACCTTCTGATTATGTCTGTAAATACTAAAACCTTTATATTCCTTATAACATTTTTATGGCACAGTGCATAAATAATTATAGGACTTGACAGAGGTACAAATACTTCTGTACTTTGCTATGTGACCATATACTGTGTTATTGTTGTTTTGCTCCTCTTTCATCATCCTTTACTACCTAGAGAATAAACTCTATCTTCAGTAGTTTCTAAGTAGGCGGTTACAATAGATGGGCTTAGCTACAGTAGATGAATGAAATCTGAGTTTGACCCAGAACAGTTAATATTTTAGTTTTTGTGTTTTGTTTGGGCAAGGTCGCCTGTCATCAGTGAAAGGGGGCACTACTTTTTCTTTTCCTCTTGGTGACATTATGACATACCTTTAAGACTTTTATACAGAATTTAAAATGAATATATTTTGTTAAATTCTTGAAAATTCTTGAAATTTTTATTTCAAGATAACAATTTATAAAATTTCATAAATTTTTTCATTTATAATCATAAATATTATTTATTGAACCAAGGCATGTACTTTTAGGCAACTTGGATTAGGCAGTTTACTATAATTTTTTTTTTCATGCCCCTTTATCAGGCAGTCAATATGTATAGCCAGTTGATTATGTCAGCATGAATTAGTACAAAATAAGATTGTAAACAGAGCCCTGGGTGCTTTAGAAAAACGAAGAGAGAAAACAGCTGTTAGGCTGCAAAAATAAAAATGTTTTACTCTTAACAATCTTCATTCTCTTTTTCACAGGCCCGGTGCTTTTACAACAGAGGAATTCTAAGGGGGAATTGCCCTTGGATTATGTGTTATCGTCTCAGATCAAGGAAGAACTATTTGCTATTACAAAAATAGAAGATACAGTGGAGAACTTTCATGCACAAGCAGAGAAACAGTTTTACCACCAACAACTTGAGTTTCGCTCATTTTTACTTAGTAGGATGTTGCTGAATTTTTGTTCAATTTTTGGTTTATCTTCAGAGTTCCTCTTAGCTTTCAAAGGGTTAACCCATCTAAATGAGCTACTTATGGCTTGTAAGAGTTATAAGGAAACCACCAGTGTTCATAGTGACTGGTTATTGGATCTTTATGCTAGAAATATCAAGACATTGCTGAAGCTACCAAGTATTTTTAAGGAACTGCCCGAGAATTTAAAAGTGTGTCCTGGAGTACACACCGAGGCCTTATTGGTGACACTGGAAATGATGTGTCTGTCAGTCACAGAGTTTTCATGATGATGCCAAAAAATATGAGTCAGCCCTCTAAACCTGATCAGTTTGCTTTGTCATTATATGTACTTCATAGCTAATTATAACAAATACTGATTTTATTTTATTTATTGACAGAATTTGCAGCCTTGCTAAATTTTAAAAGTACCTTTGCAAAACTAATATAGGCTTTTCTGTCTTTTTCCATAGAATTTGACTCAAAAGTAAAAAAAAGAAAAAAAAGTTTTGTTTGGTATACACTGCTTTCTTTAATCTTTATAATTATTTTTGTTCTGAAAGTGATATTTATTTATATTGTATATGTAAATTTTTTTAATTTAAATATTCTTTTCAAATCAAAATGTATGTCCTCTATTCTAGCTATTCTAGGTCTTAGAATCATGGCAAGGATATTCATTTAAGTGTGCACCTATAAACATGTAGATCCCTGTTTCTCCTCTGTAGGCTGTTGGACTAAAATACTCATTTTAGTTTTGTGTGTTTCTAAAATAAACATTTCTAAAATTTATAGTAATATTCTTTTGGTTTTTAAATGCAGTGAATATGCAAACTTTGACAATATGATCCCTTGATCTATTTTATTATAGTAATTCACATGCAAAGTGTGTTTCTACTCTTATGTAACCAGTATCCTGTAAGTGAAAACATTCTGTGTAATAAGTTTTATTAAATATTAAGATTATCAGTAGCAACTAAGTAATAGATTTTAACTAATATAAAATCTTAATGTACAGTATGAATTTGCAAAGTACTAACATTTCAATTTGCAGTTTTTTTTCCTAATAGCAATTTATAAAAGAAAGGGTGTGGATAATAACCACTTTTGAAATTGGTTTTACTAGTGGGAATAAGTTACATTGTGATACAGCTGGAAAAGAAACATTAAAACTTCCATTTAGCTTTTATGTAACTAAAGTGATGATCTCACAGCAATTAATCTGCTAAAGAAGCACACTTTAGTTTTATCTTGGAAATAGATCTTTTAATAAGATACAGATGCTGAGTTTTTTATTACTGGGTTTATAATCTAAACTGAAAACTGCAATATTAGTATATCAGCTCTGAATAAAAATTAAGGGCTTTTTCTATATTTTTAAATCAGTAATTTTTCACACATAAGAAATATTAGTTGTTTCTATTTACCCTTCAAATATGACATCATACAAACTCTTTTTGATCTTTACTTAATCTGCCAAAGTATCAGAAAATAAGAGAGGAGACTATTTAAAGAACATTAAAATATTCATAGACAGTACAGTGCTTCCCCAGATGATGGACAGAACATTTTTATTCCTAAGAATAGCCACTTTACTTCATTATGAAGGCATCTGGAATAACGTTTGTTTAGTAAACTAATATAAACTTGAAAACATAGACTTTGACATCAGAAATACATAGTTTCAAATCCTTGTCTAATTTCTTATTAACTAAATTGCAAGGCAAGTTCCTTTCTGAGCTTTGGTTTTCTTACCTGTCAAATGAATATGACACCAAGTATCTCTGTTGTAATGGAATCAAGTTAGCCTATCATCTTATTTGGCACTAATAAATGTTACTTCCTTTGTAGTTCTTAACCTCTTTTTTCATTTTAATGAATCTTTTAAGTATAAAGCAAGATAGCAATTCTTAAATTTTTAATAATTGTAAATTAATAAAATAATGAACATCATGAGTTAGGGTTTTGTACTGCTAAGAAAAAGTTTTTAAATGTTCATAAGAAATATTTAACTGCAATTAGTATTTATTTTTTATAACTGTTGTATCTGCCAACTTCTATACACCATGATGAATGAGGTTTTAAACACTCAAATGTCATCGAGGTCTCTGCCTTTAACAAGATAGGTATCATTGCATTTTGCACTGTTTCAGAAGTACAGCCTGGCAAACAATATGTTCTGTGGCGTAGTTAGCAATACCAGTTCATGTATATGAATTTAAACCTGCAATGAGAAACTTTATTTCCAACATCATTTCTTATATTTTACTTTAGAAAACATAATTGCTCAAATCTATCTTAGAGATAGAGGAAGTGGAAAATTTAATAAAATAAAATTCATAGTCTTTTTGAATCCTGGCTTTTTAGTTGTAGATGTCTCAAAGTTGTAGCAGCTGAAGACAAGGCTGAGTAATGCTGTTCTTCATTGCACTCTGCCAGATTCAATATCAGAGTTCAATGGAATTGTGTTTTTAAAAATGCCCATGAAAGTCCTTACTACAATGTAAATAAAGCTCAGAAGGAGATTTCTGAGCTTTTAAGAGTCAACTTTGCTTATGCATAATCCCCACATGTATTTGGAATAGATTTAGAATGTTCACTGGCAGCTCGAAGGGTGTGTGTGAAGTTAGAGTTTTCTATCTTGTTCTTAATTTCTCTATGCAGAATAAAGTGGTTGAAGTATATACATTTTTTGTAATTTTATTAACTCCAAGATGACCAGAAAAACATTTATCCTTGTAGAAATCAAATATGAACTTAATGAGTCTTTTGAGTTCATTATTTCTTGAACACCTATTATATAAGAGGTGGTGTGCTTGATGGGCTGACGACAATAAAAGAGGAAAGCTTACAGTCCAGTAAGGTGAACTAGCCTTAAATATTGTTGGTTTTATTGTCTTCTATAGAGGCTGTTGAAAAAAATTAATTTTAGTTTTGTGTATTTCTAAAATTGACAGTAATAATTTATGCTGTTTTAGTTTTTAAATGTGAATATTACAAAGTTCTGATAGTTTAATCCTTTGATCAGTATGATCAGTTTTATTTTAGAATGAATAGAATGTGGGTGTACTTTTGCATCTTGGTGAACTAGTACTCATTTCTAGGTAGTAAATACGAATGCATTAATGCTAGGATACTTTAAATGCCAGGAAACGTTTGCCATTTTGTTTATGCTGTTATAGAAAGTTAAATTAAATGAATAACTACATGTGAAAAACTTACTTGTCGAATGTGCAATCCATATGCCTTTACCCACCTTTCCAGTTAAGTGATGAACTTGATGAGAGCCTGTCACTGTTGCTCCTTAATCAGTAGGAAGGTCATCGTTGAGTGACACAAGGCACTCTTTCCCTCAGGCATTTATCACACGGCTTCCACGCCAGTTGCACCTCCTCTGACGTGCAGCTTGCAGAATTCAGAGTGATCATTGTTTTTATAACAGATGTGGATTGAGTTAGAAAGGTCAGTGATGGTATTATTGAAATTAGACTCTCCCTGTTGATGTCAAAACCGAAGACCATGCAATGGTTAACTATTTCTTGTAAATCAAATTATGTGTTCAAAAACTTTTCCTTCTAGGTTAAAAAGAATTGTGGTGGGAGGATATACTTTGGTGGTTATTTGCTCTGATGTAGAATTAGAGATTATTAGACTATAAATTAATTAGAAAAGGCTGTAGTATTGTTTTATTTGGTTCCAAACATACACCTTTCAAGGTACTCTAAATCTTACTAAAAGAAGACCTTTTCAAAGGAAACAAATGTAAGATATTCTTTACATCATTGGTCACTAGATATTTAAAAGAGAGTTTTCCCTCTTAAGTAAATCCTAATTTTCAAGAACACCCCAAATATATTTAATCATGCTTCCCACTTTAAGAAAGTACCAAGCAACAGAGACCTATAAACATCTTTGTTTCTTGAGACGCATGAACTTGTGAATTGTTAAAAGAGGGAAAAACATTCTATTATTTGAAAAAGAAGATTGTTAATAACGTTTACCAATGATAAACGCAACTGATTAGCTTTTTATCACAGAGGAATCTTGCTGTTTGGGAGTACTTTAGTATAAGCAAAATTATATTTTGTATATGTGATATATGAGTATTTTCCAATATTTTGTACATTTTAATTCAGTATTATAGTTTTTTTTTTATTAAAGTATAGGTATATAGTTTTGGTTATAAATGCACTTATACTATTTTTAAAACCTTGAAATGTAACCTTTAGCACTAGATAAAAGTGATTGATTTTCTTGTGATTATGCTTTCTTTGTATTGTTGATTATATACATATGTTTTCATTTTTAAAACAAATACAGTGAACTCTTTTCTGGGTTTTTAAACTACTTACTAAGATCCAATAGTATTAAGTCAGCAAAGTAACCAGTGATCAGTTATTACAATAATAATACTTATAATAAAATAAGTGTATATTATTTATATACGTAATATTGCCCTTAACAAACATGGAAAATAAATAAAAGTTCCTTACTCAAACATATATATAAATAGTTGTCTCCATTTAAAACTGAAACGTTTCGGGCCGGCTGAGTGGCTCAGTTGGTTAAGAGCTCGCTCAAGAGTTTGAGCTCTGAGCAACAGCGGTTCGAGTCAGCCCGAGCTGAGCAGCCGTGTGCTGCCAACAGGTGGCGGGATGGCTCAGCTAAAAAACAAAACAAAAAAAATAAAAATAAAAATAAAAAATAAAACTGAAACGTTTCTATCAATTTTTTTTTAATGTGGCCCCCAAATCTTTTTAGAATGTTAAATCCAGATTTGGTAAATCTAATTCCCTTCCTTTCAAAAGTATCTAAATTGGATGAAGTGAACTTTAATGAATAATAGGTGTTAAACATTAATAGAGAATGGCTAGCTCCTTTGGAACATATGATTTAGTTCTACCAAAGAATGGGAGCTTTTCTTAAAAAAAAATGTCCTTAGCACTTTCCAGCAGGTAAATTGCACTGAAGTGAAAATCTGGAATCCAGCTTTGAATTTACACCTATTATACTATCATTTATCTTAATAGTAGATGAACTAAAATTTCCAATGATTCTCCATTCTTCTGTCCTCAAATGAAATAGCCATGTTGAAAAAAAATCATTAATCTTCAAGTGATGACAGATAAAAAGAACTTAGTTTGTTGTCAGTACTTCTCAACTTAAAGGTTAGGTCAGCAATGGTTTATGTCATGACATTGATAAATTTTTCCAGTGACCAAAATGGTTTGATTTATAATAGTTTTTGTTTTTGTTTTAAGGCATATATATCTTGGGTACCTGCCTTCACCCTAAAGAGGTATTTTTTCTACTTTGCATTGTTTCTCTTTTGCAACATAGAGACAAAATTACAGAACAGTAAGTAAAATTTGGGAAAATTAAAATGTATTAAAATTAATGTATTTAAAAGAGCTTTCCATGAAAACTTAAAAGCAGAATTGTAAAGATGAAAACTGGGCAAAGGGATGAGGGGAAAGATGGGTAGAAATCATTCTGGTTTAAAGGAATTAAGAGGGTTAAGATTTTTAGATGCTGTTTAATATATTGATAAGGTAGGGAAAGTAAAAAAATCTAGACAAAAGACATATAAACAGATCTCCTAATTTCAAGAATAAACTGTCTTTGGAAATTTTGAATAATGTCCAATAAACCAAGGGTCAAGATAATTGTTTTGCAGGAGGGTCTATTAGTTGAAACTCAGTAAGAAACAAAGAATAATAAAAATATCAGTTTTAATTGTGTCATCAGAAATAGGTTATTTTGACTAGTAATATTGTCTTTTCCTCACGGTTAGGCAAATCTCAATTTCTCATTTCTTATTTTCCCACGATTTCACTTGTTTTACACTTCTTTTCAAAATACTTTTAAGTTCATACTCAGTCATGTTAATGGGCTTAAGGAGACGTTGAAAGCCATGTATAAAAAGTGGCAGAACTGGTTCCTTCAATGCCATTTTATTGACTAATTTTAGTTCTTTTTTAAAAATAGAAACCATTTAAATGTAATTAAATTTTTCTCTAAGTAAAATTACATAGGGGAAAGGATTGTAAGCAAATACATTGCTAATAGTGGTTGTGTTTGTGATAGAGTTTTGAATATTTCCTTTTCATTTCTCCAAATTTCATTGTAATATGATTCATATTTGTTTATAATACCAGTGGCCAATTAATTATTAAAAGTAATGCTCCTGATATATGTAAGAATCAGTCTGGAAATTTTCTAAAGTTGTCTTACTTAAACTGGCATCTATTGGACTCTTTAAATATGAAGCACATTTTTAAAATACACCTTTTTTTCAAGGTAGGATGTAATTAAACATAGTATCAACTAATGCAGGTCTCAAATAATACACTTATATGACATGCCCCTCATTTGAGAGTGATTCTGGCTTATCATGTTACTGATAGGCTTCTTTCATCTTCATTTTAAGCCCCTTTTAAGTACTGCCTCACCACGGTGAGTGGAGCCATTACTTTAGTAGGATTTTTACATTGTTAGAGATTAAACTTCTTCATGCACATACCTGGTGGAGTCATGATAACATATCTTCACTATCAGCCTTTCCTGATTTTAGAAGTATTCATAGAACCTAAAAATTGTTCTCTGATTTTTTTTTTTTTCAGATTCAGCACCAAGAAACAATGAGAAACTAAAATTAAATGTACCTTAAATGCCTCTGGAGGAAGTTCTCTACTGTTATTAAATTGAGAAATTTTTTTGTTCTATCATCATAGATCTGGGGAAAATTCACTTTTTAATATAGATTGGACTATTTACAACATTAATACAGATAACAAGCAGCCAGCCATCTATTGAGAGAAATCTGAGTCAAAGTGTTTTAACGCTGTTTTCCAGAGCATATTATTTTGCACCTCTTCTGTGAATGCCAGGAAAATGGCTTCTTATAAGGTACTGTTTTAAACAGTACGATTCAAAACAATGTTTTGAAAATTGTTTTATATAAATATATTGGATACCTACATCATAACTACAGTATGCTAGAGAGTATCACACCAATGTGTTTTTGAGGGGAAATTTCTCACCTGCCTGTCAGGGTTGTGTCACAGTCATGGGAGATCATGGGCATTAAGTAAGTACATGTGTGTTCTTTGTGTTAGCATCATAGTGTCACAGAATGGATGGTACCCCACCCAAGAGTTAGCTAATTCTTGGTTAAGTTATCCAGTGCTGGATGTTTTGTGATTTCCCCCCAAAAAAAGTTTTTCTCTGTTATATCTGAAAATGCATTTATTTCATCCTACAGGGAAATTTAAGAAGTAATGTTCAACTGCTTCAAATAAAATGGAATGCCACATTGAACTATTTTAAAAGTACTACAAACATTTATAATATGTTGACTTTTCCAGGTGGGTTCCCATGTGCTTTAAAACTCCACTATGGTTTTCTAGGTCTCTGTATCAATGGAATCTAAATTTTGTAAGAGTTCTAAGAAAAAAGGTAAGTGGTAGTTATGCCGTTGTATAAGGCTGAGTCAGAACGTGGGTTAGCGACCTCCCTTACACAACCAGGACAACAGAATCACAAACATCCCTCTCTGTATAGTAGAAAATAGACACTTCAGCCTTCATCAAGTTTTTCTAAAAGTTTAATAGTTCTTGACACCAACAAATTATTTTTAAGCTATACACAGATTTTGACTTGTATTATCATAATCACGATTGTGTAAAGGAAGAATGTTTTGTGGGAATGATGTAGAGTTTAGTTATACGGTTTCCAGTTATCTGAATAGCTCTATTAAAAGATCTCTGAATTTGGGATAAATACTGGCATTTCCTTCTCCACACCTTTCTTCTATGGTCCAGCTGTCTTTGTAATTTTGCTTGACTATTATTGCCTGTGTGTCTTCAGTAATCATGCTACAATTAAGAGTGGTTGGGGCCAGGTGTGCACTTTTCTCTATGCAGTTAGCATTCCCCCTAAACTTGTTACCATTTGAACTCTGGCAAAATTAAATGCCTCACATTGATTCATGCCATTTTGAAGCTTGTCTTTGACTAGACAGTGGAACTGAGCCTCATTTATCACCTTGCCTCATTAGCAGCAGCAACAGCCCCACTCAGCCAGGCCTCAGGATCTCCTCAGTTGCATTTCTCCCAAGAAAATAAGAGGTAGTTTGCATGTTTGTGCATTGACTCTCAAGTTAGTCACTCCTTTTCTCTTTGGAAGGAAATTGAAGAATCTACAATGGGTGAATGACCTTGCAACGTTATTGTAGCTACAAACTGAAAAAACTTGGGCCCAGTCACTTTCGTAACTATTTTTGTTTTCCCTAATCCAAACAAAGCTTTCAGCTTAATAGAGTAACACTGTTAATTGACTAGAACAGTGCCATTTGGTTATCTTATTAAAAATGGAGTCATAATTTTTCAGTGACATTTGGAGACAACTATAATGTAAATGAAAAATTTAACTGTCTACAAAACTGCTTTTGCATAGAACACGTTTTTCTTTAGAATGTAAAGGAAGGAAGATCCCAATAAATTGAAACTCATTTGAGATCAATTACATATTTGATGGTTTCACTTTTGTGTGTGTGTGGGGGGGTCTTAACCCAGATCCCCCTGGAAAAGCAGAGATATAACTAAATTTCAGCAAACCTTTCAGTGTTATTAATAGTTTCTATAGCATGTAACCAATTTTGACCTTTAATGGTTTTTATTTGCATAATCTTACATAATCGACTTTCCTTGATATCCTTGATATTTTTTAAATCTCAGAGATTCAGCTGGAATAAGTCTTATGATGTGAATACTACTGTATAAATGTAGAAACTGAGGCATAAGAGGTAACATTTTTCACCAAAAAAAAGTTTTGTGTTTTTTTTTTTTAGTGAGTTATACTAGTCATCCTGGGAAAAAGAATTATAATTGAAAGGAATGACACTATGGTAAGTATTCATTACGTTTTTTTAATGTGGTTTTAATTCATACTTGACTGAGCAATTAGAAAAGGCTGATTCAAGATACTCTAATCAAACAAATGAATAGTCATCTGTGCACACACACACACTCACGCTTGACATTTAAAGTCCCAGAATTTAAATAAACACTGATTTAATAATGAGGGTTTTGCAAGAAGTATAATGGTGGCTGTCTTTACTTGTATTTCTGGAGAATCAACTGCTATATATATAAATATATATATATTTTATATATATATATATTTTATATATATATTTATTTAGATATATTATATAATTTGTTTTTAATGGTGAGTACAGAGCTCCAAAATAAACATTTGGGATTAACAAGTATATAAACTGACATTAAAGCCTCTAAGACTTAAAAGACTTGTTAATACAAGAGTAGACTACCTTAAGCATTAGGGACCTTTGGATATTAAGATCAAAATGAAAACAAAGTTCTATGGTCCCTGAATAAGAGAGCTTGCTACTGAATTTTTCTTCGCTTTTAAATACAGAATAAAATTCTGGAAAAGATACTTTCAGAAATGTGTCAATTAAATTTTGCTCTCACTATTTAGCTCCATATTTAATTTTAGTATACTATCATTGGTTTGACTATTGATAGGGCAAGTCATATGGCAAGTACTCAATAAATATGCCACAAAGCAGAGTCATTTAAAGAATCTCTCAATTCACATTTTCCTTGTGCATAGATTGGTTCAAAAATAATTTGGAACCTCTACGGAATCGATCAGTTTGAGTCTGTGGAACAGTACCAAAATGAACAAGAAGTACTAAGTTTTTATAGATGAAAAAGTTAAAATATGCATTTCTTTGAATTATCATAGTTCAGAATATGAATGACCTTCAAGGAATATACTCACTAAAACATAGTAAGGAGTATATTTAGTAGTTCACGTGACTACTGTATTTAGCAGTCCAAATAGGTGTTAGACTTCTAATCTTTTAGGTAAAGATATGTTGAAATATTTACATGACAAAGAAATAGTTAAAATTCTATTGGACACAATCTCTTGTTTTCAGCCTGTGAATGTAGTAGTTTCTAAAAGCAATGAAGAGTCCTTCGAATATTGTTTTCATGTCTCAAGATAGTTCTTAATCTTCTATCAGCTTCATTGGATGTGCATCCCTCTGAAGGTATTGAGTTTTATACAACAGTCAAGTTTTCAAGGAAAGCCTTTTGTCCAAATGAAACATGAGTTTCTCTAAGTGAAGTGTCATTTATAAGAATATGCACACAATCCTCCATTACTCTTCTCTCAAGCACCAAAAAAAAAAAAAAAAGGAGAACTGATCATACTTAGAAAAGATTTTTTTTGTATTTAATGCAATGAATGTATAGTCAACATTATTATTGAACTAAACATCTGAAATTTCATAGAATGAAACAAACAAGTTATCTGTTAATGGTTACTATTTACTAAGTACATCTGAGGTTGTAGAATATCAGGCTTGTAGACATTTGAGTAGACACTGTCATCATGGAACATAAATCTCACACAAGATGTAATAAAAAATTATTTCAAACAAATTATCCTACCAGTAAACTTTCTGTAGTAACATCAACTTCATGGAGTATTATGTCTTAGCAACAAACAGTGATGATATGCAGATATAAGCATGTCATTAGAAACATGATGCACTAAATAGAGCATATTGAGGTCAAAGCCTTTCTGTAGAAAGGGAATTTAATTGGCATTCTTTCAACCATAGTGTATAAACAGATCAAAATAGTTCTATCATAAGAAATAGTATTTAACAACATAGCTTTAAAATAAAAATACTTTAAAAATCAGCTTTGATGACATTACATTTATTTTTAAAGAATTTTTATATATTTCTTCTGATTTTTCTACATTTTTCCAGAATAACCCCCACCTTCACCCTATCCCAGTCTATTAATAAAGTAGTGCAAAACATTGTCTATAGCAATTTCAACCAAGTTTCATTCCCTACCAAGTCAGGGGAAGTAAGACATTCTTACCAAATTATTTCTCTTTCCAGAGGTATACTCCCTTGATATAACAGGGAGTTAGGTACAAAAACAACCACAAGAGTCTTGGGAAAGCAATTTGTAAGTATAGATTCTACAGTAAGTAGTGAAACATTTTTAAAGGCAAACTCCCCTTCCCCATAAACAGTTTATTTTACAAAATAGGTTTTCATGCATTCATATTATCAAGAATGATTATTTTTTCTATAAATGAATGTAATGAAACACTGTCATATCACTTAGCACACTGCATTCTCCTCTACATTAAAATTAACACTAATAACAAATCAAAGTATGCATTAAAGCTAATGAGAAAGCAGAATTTTTTTCTGTGAGAACACTTTTTATTAAATATTTTTAGATACACAGAGGTATAATCTGACACCAAAAGCAATATGGATTTAGTTTGCTAGTATGTTTGACTACTGAAATTTTGCTAATTTGCTTGCTAGGTACAAATTAAAGTAGTAGTAGGTATAAAAATTTAGATAGGCAATCATTTATAAACCTGGCAGTATTTACGTGTAATCCTATAGAGATTTTGAGGTTTTAGATGGAATGATAGAAGGTTTTGAAGTTTTCTTTGTAGGATTTCAGAGTGTAGAAGATTCTTTTGAGGGGGTGAATGTATCTTTACTCATTAACTTAAAATCTGCCTAGTCATATCTCAATAATTTGCTCAGGAATAAATGTTGGGATCTGAAGTCAGGATTTACGTTAAATTGAAATGCATCTGTTTCATTATTCACGTTTTGGGACTCCACCCTCCCTTTTGAAATGTATAAAACATAGAAAACAGTAATGGATTACTTTTCAGATAAAAAAGTCAACATTAAAAAAAAATTTAAAATTAAATGGACATTTACATTTTATGTAGATTTAATCAGAGCATAGCTAAGCAATTAATCTGGTTCTTCCACTCGTAATTAGACAAGTGTGTCCTCCCAGTGTTACTATTCTTACATTTGTTGTTCCAGTGTGTTACATTACTATCCACAGCTAACAAGACTTTCACACAGCAGTAACTAAAACCTTTATCAAATTGATGCTGTACAATGGAAGTATATTTTCAAAGACATAGGCCCTTGTACACTATTTACAAATTCTCTCAATCATGATAAAAAAAAAGGCAAAATAAATAAAAAGCAGAAAGAAAGGAAATGCTTCTGAGGCTTGAAGGCTTTTTCTTTTATCTTCCCAAACAGATGCTGGTCTTCTTAGTGCTGGGAGCTGGCTAGCCAAGATTGTTTTTCTTCCTTTTACATGGGCTGTGAGAGGGATCTGGTTTCAGTTCTTGGTACTGCACCTGTTTAAACATAGTTCAGAGAAAGACTGGTCAGGTGGCCACTTTCTGGCAAAGGAAGGAAAAGCAAAGGAATGAAAGACTGCTTGGAGGGAAAAAAAGTGCTCACTCTGGAAGCTGCACGATTATACAGCTGGGATGCAGAAAACAATAGAATGATCCAGCACGAGTAAGAGGGGAAATCCTGCCAGAAGCTATCTGAGAGCCCTGATGTGAACTGTGGTAAGACTGGGGTCCTCATTGTCCATAAGATATAACATTGAAAACAAAAGCATCTCCATTTATCCTGAAGGGATAGATAATGGTTCTTTGCAGTTTGTTTGTTTGTTTAATATAGGCTTAATCTCCATCCAGTGCACTCATGTCTGATATGAAATCAAAAACTCAATTGGGAAAAAGGTATCTCTGTAACCCAGCTCCAACATTTTGATAAAAGCTTTTCATTTTACTCTGAAAAATCACTGATGATTAATGGCATTAACCTCAAAGGATTGAAATGTGCCCCAGTCTTCAAAATGCCATCACTCCTGCCTCCCATATGCATCTTTAAAACTAACTTAATTCGGGCAAATTATGCAAAGACGCATTTTTCTCTCAAATGTCCACAGGCACACTTTGCTTTCATCATCTAATATTCCTGTTTCCTCCCTTCTGGTAATGGTGATTTCCCTTCACAGACTCCCATAGAACCTTCCTTGGAGAAGGATTGTCCCTGACAGCTCTGGTAGGCTTCTTATGAAACCCCCTCTCATTCTCCATTCTTCTCTGTAAGCCCTTCTTAGTTAGGACTCCAAGTGCGCTAAATTCCTAAATGGCAAAATCTACTACAAGCTTTATTAACTTTATCTGGCTGTCCTAAAAGCTTTTGAAATTAAAAGGACATAAAAGTTAAAAACCAATGCTACACTACATTAAAATAATAGTCATGATAATGAAATCTACATACCACTTGTACATCTGAAGGAACTCTGGAAAGGAAGTCAAGTAGTTCATTGTTATCGATCGCATAGGGACACCGAAGCTTTTTTGTAAATTTGTTGATGCCTGAAAAAGTATAGATCAAACATTACTGAAGTCTCCAAAGTTTGGAGTTACAGAAAACACATTTCTGGCAAACGTATTGAAGTCATTTGAAGTTCTAGATGAAGCTGTCCTTTAGCCTTGACTGAGTGAATCAATAAATCCAGTTTCTTCCCTCCATCCCTTCCCTGTCTTCTTACCTCCTTTCCTCCACCTTTTGTCCCCTTCCTTTCTCCTTCCCAACTCAATGGCTGGTCTGTTTATCTCTCTGTACTTTAGTGGCTTCCTTCGCAGAAAAAGGCTTTGCATTTGGGAAATAAAAAGCACCTGGCAAGAATGAGCAATGGCACTATCTTGCTTTTACCCTCAGTGTAAAGTAGTTGGAACCTTTGCTTTCGTGTTCCATCTATGATGAAACTTGTTTCCCTACATTTTGGATTGGAATTGCTTTCAAGGCAAGAAGTCTGATTCATCTGTTTCCTCTTTTTCAAGAAAAAAAATTTTTTTAAGTGTGGGTCGGGGGGTGTTGCTGTTATGCAAGCTAAATGTTTAAAAGACACATGACCTTCATTTTATTTCAAAATGAACTGAAATGAGAAAGGATTTACCACCAACTTTAAATTTAAAACAAAAACAAAGAAACAAACAGCTTTGAAGATAGCAATATAAGAAGATAGTGATATAAGAAGATAGTGATATCCTCCTCTATGAATACACCAAATCTACTGCTGCCTATGAAACAACTTCTTCTGAAAAATCCTAAAAGCTGGCTGAGTGATGACTACATATCAGGTGAAAAAGAGAAGGCCCACATTGAAACAGGTAGGAGAGACCGGGGGACAGTCTTGCAGTAAACCCCACCCCCACCTCCACTCCCAGTGTGGAGGGAGCTCCAAATCCACAGCTTCCCCCCGGAGGAGCAGAGGGTTTGAACTCCATGTCAGGTATGCCCAACTTTTAAGACTTGCACTTTAGACAAGCCCCAAAGACATCTATCTTTTTTCTTCATTTTTGAGAAATAATTGACATACTTCACTATATATAAGTTTAAGGTGTACAGCATGATGATTTGATTTACATATATTGTGAAAAGATTACCACATAGGTTTAGTTAACATCTATCATCTCATAGATACAATAAAAAAGAAAAAGATTTCTTCCTGTGATAACTCTTAGGATCCACTCACTTAACAACTTTCCTGTATATATTAACAGCAGTGTTAACTAGAGTCATTTGTACATTACATCCCTAGTACTTATTTATCTTATAACTGGAAGTTTGTCCTCCAATCCCTCCTCTGCCACCTCCCCCCCCCCACCACCACCCCCACGCCTGGTAACCACATATCGGATCTCTTTTTCTATGAATTTGGTGTTTTGCTTTTTGTTTTTTGTGGGCTTTTAATTCTTTTTCAATTACAGTTGATACACAGTATCAGTTTTAAGTGTACAACATAGTGATTAGACATTTATATAACTTATGAACAGCATGATGAGTCTAGTACCCACCTGACACCATATACAGTTATTACAATATTATTGACTGTATTCCCTATGCTGTACTTTATAGCCCCTTGACTGTTTTTATGACTGCCAATTTGTACTTCTTAATCCCTTCCCCTTTTTCACCAATCCTCCCAACTCCCCTATCTGGCAACCATCAATTTGTTCTCTATTTGTGGTTTGTTTCTTTTGTGTGTTAGTTTATTTTTTCCTTTAGTTTCCACATATAAGTGAAATCATATGGTATTTGTCTTTCTCTGCCTGACTTATTTCACTCAGCATAATACACTGTAGATCCATCCATGTTGTCGCAAGTGGCAAGATTTCATTCTGTTTTATGGCAAGTAATATTCCATTGTGTGTGTGTGTGTGTGTGTGTGCATATATATATGCACACACACACACACCACATCTTTATCCATTCGTTTTATCCATTCATCTGTCAGTAGACACTTAGGTTGCTTCCATATCTTAGCTATTGTAAATAATGCTGCAGTGAACATAGGGGTGCGTATAT